ACTATATTTCTTCATACACACACACACACACACACACACACACACATATACATATATATATATATATATATATATATATATATTATTCTATCATTTTTTTTTTAAATTTTTAAAATTTTATATTATTATCGGTAAATTTGGAAAAAAAAATCTTCTTATTTTTAATTTATATTATTTTCTTTCCGAAAACTTTCGAAAGTTGTTCCATTCGTTTTCAAGGATTTCTCTGTGTGTAGTTATGCAATTCTTTTTTTTTTAATTCTGTCTTCTCACGTTTGATGGCATCAGTTTCAAGTCACTCAAGATCGCATCATATAAACACTCAAACTGAAATTTTTATTCGTGTGTGTTTCAATTACACACACACACATATACACACACACACGCACACACACACACACACACACACACACACACACACATATATATATATATATATATATATATATATATGATAAAATATAGTTTTAATGCATTCTATATTTATCTGTTTAATTGGTAATTATCCCGGATGTAAATATGAAAGTGAACACAGAATTCAACATATATAAGTCAAATTATATAAGTAGACATTGAAGTCAACAACCAGCGGTGAGGGTCTGCTTCCTGCTTAAAGTGTCAACGTCACTGACGATTGGGTTAAAGCATGACAAAATCTGTCGCCTTTGTATGATTACATAAATGTCCACAATTATATAAGCTATCAATATACCTCATAACACTCTCGAGCGCTTATCCTTGTAGCGGGTAGAGTGGAGATCATCGTGTTTTAGTGGACTCAGCAGTTTTCAATCTGCTAGTCTGAATCGTCTTCAAGAAGCGAGAGCAAGATCTAAAAGGTCAGCCAATGTAACCGTGACCTTATCGCACAATTCTCACGCTTTCTCCATGTGCAGCCTCCTTTGCAAATCACTTGCGGGTCTTAAGTGCCATTTAAGATTATCGCACAAAATTCATAACTGAATCAGTTGGTTAAGTTGTCAGATACTCATACGTCGAAACCGACGGGAGAGTCCATTATATATATATATATATATATAAGTGTGTATGTGAATAAATTATATTTAGGCAGTAAGTATTCATTCAAACAAGCTTACTGCTCGTTCCTATAAGGCAACTTGGTCATTGTTAGGTCTTGTTATCATTTGATGAAATCCTGACCCGTGTAGTAAGAGCGAGGGCATTTGTCAATTTACGAATATCGTTCTCTATAGCCTCCAGTGGCCGATGTTTAGGTGTCTAAATAGCAACGAGGCTTGACTCACCTGGTGTCGAATAATGCACTCTGTATGAAGCTCGAACATTATTGCAGTCTTTAAGCGGGGGGAGGGGGGACTAGGGGCTGACTATGTATTTAAAGGATAAAAACCCTTTTAAAAATTCTTTATTGATAACAGTGACTTACCCTAAGCAAGGAAATAAAGTCACTAAGACACGAGGAGATTAGAGAAAAAAATACGCTTTTAAGGAGAGAAGACAATAAAAAGAGAAATAAAGAAGACAGAAGATAGCGATTGACATTGCTTTTACATTTTTCAAGAACAAAGTTGCCTGCGAAGCAAGAAGCCGGATGAGAGTTCCACTAGCAAGAAGTACGATAGACGAAACTGTCAGCATAGAACTTATGATTATGTCTATATATTTCAAGTGTAAAATGATGAAACCTAGCCGCCTATCAAGTACTGCGCTTAAGAGTATAGGTATCATAAAGAAAATTTCATCAGAAAAATTACCGTGAAAGTATTTATAGGTAATGCATAGAGAATCTCCATTGCAGCAGTGGGCAACTAATGGAAGCCGAGATGCCAGGACAGGACGGATGATATTGTAGATTCTTATTTGGATTTCACCAAGAATCTCTAAATATATAACAAGAGCACCAAATCTGATGTGGCAGCAATATTCAAATAGATTTTTTTTATATATAAGTCTTATCTACAATCATCTATTTTTCTATTATATATGTTTTCTCAATTTAGCTGATTATGGACCAGCAAGCAAGGATGTAAACCATACAGCAATGAGAATAGACTTCTGTCTATATATCTGAGATGAGGTATTAAGGTTTCTTGCATTTTCGGACTGTTATCCTTATCTTCAATGCCATATTCGGCCGTTGTACGCTTCGGTCTTCTTCAGGTGATAGGAATGTCGAACCGAACCCTTTATTTCGCCCACCGGTGGTAGATTGTTCTAGTTCCACGTGCCATACCTTGTATGCCCAGGGCTTCACCAGGATCTGTCTATATCTCTGACTTGATTACTTGTATTATTTACATTTTTCGGACTGTTATTCTTATCTTCATTGCCATATTCACAACGTTTCGGTCGAAGTACGCCGCGGCCTTCTTCAGGTGATTGGATCTCTGAGATGAGGTATTATGATTACTTACATTACTTGCATTATTCGGCCCGTTATTCTCATCTTCATTGCCATATTCACAGTGTTTCGACCGTTGTACGCTCCGGCCCTCTCCAGGAGATGAGGTATTATAATTACTTGCATTATATACATTATATAGACTGTTATCCTCATCTTCATTGCCATATTTACAACGATTCGGTCGTTGTACGCTCGGGCCTTCTTCAGGTGATTGGATCTCTGAGATGAGTTATTATAATTACTTGCATTATTCTCATAATTCGGACTGTTATACTAATCTTCATTGCCATATTCACAGCATTTCGACCGTTGTACGCTCCGGCCTTCTTCAGGTCATTGTAATTTCGACAGAGAGCATCGCTGGAATATAAGAAAACTTAAGGAATAAGCAAATATGCTAGGCTACAAAAATCGACCAAGCATAGATATGAATAAAATATGGGAACCAGCAATAATGAGTGCTAGAGAAAAGCAAGGAATAAAAACAAAAATTGCAATATAAGCACTGGCAAAAAAAAAAAGCATACTAATAATAACAGAAAAAATTGCAATATGAGCACTGGTCAAAAAGTTGGTTGCTGAGACATTTAGATTTATAAGTCCCAAAAAATTCATACACAAATGTCCTCAAGGGCACATGGCCCAGTGTATAAAGACGTTGATTAGATCCAGTGACGTGACCCGTGAGTTCAATAGCAGGGCACAGCAAAATAGTTGGGGTGTTGAGTTAAAGGGAAATAACTGAAACATTCCAATCACCTGAAGAAGGCCAACGCGTATAGCGGCCGAAACGTTGGGATGAAGGCAATGAAGATAACAGTTCGAATAATGCAAGAATAAATTTATTTCAGTATTATTACGGATTCATACCTCAGTTTACTTTGTCTTAGCCTCATGTAATTGACTTTACAAAGCCTAGGGAAATGTTACGCTGCGTTTAGCCCCTGGTGAATGTGTTTATCAACAAATGACTGGCGCATGTACAGACACATTGACGACAGCAACCCAACTTAACCACTTAGTGAAGACAAGTTTTTGTTTTTTATACCCCTAACCCATTAGCCATCAGTCAGTGACCAATATGGAATTTTCACCTCATTTGACCTTTTGTTTCAATATTTGTTGCTATTTATTCTTTTATCACCTCCTCTTAATCAGTGACTCACAGCCGGTTGTTCACTTGGATGGGTCATCGTGGTTGTTTTATTGAACTAGTTTCGATAAGTAACAGCACTGTAGTGAGTTCTGTCCTCACTGTTCGGCCTCCAAATCTGTAAACATATCACTCAGTTGTGTGCCACGCGTAGATGATTATGTATCTTTCGATACATGACTGACGAGGCAGTAGGTTGCATTTTATTTTGCGGTAGACGAGTTGCCATCCCGATCTGCCCTGCTATTTACCCATAAGAAGAAGAGGATTCATACCTTTCCTTAGGGTATTAGCACGTATGTGAATGTAAAGGATTTGACTGGAATTCGAACTCGGCTCTCCGATTCCTCAATCCGTTATCCATTACTCCACCGTGCCTCTTAAAATGGAAATGGCTAACATGACGTCCAAACGCATTCAGCTTTGCAGATCTCTCTCTTCTTTCTCTTTCTCTCTCTCTCCCTCCCTCTCTTTCTCTCTCTCTCTCCCTCCATCTCTTTCTCTCCCTCTCTCTTTCTCTCTGTCTCTGTCTTTCTCTAAAACATGGCTATTTAGGGCGGCCATGGCTTTCCACAGTTTTTTTATATACATAGCGGCAGACATAACCTTATGTCAGCTGATATAATAAATCCGGTGAGAAAATACATCCTCGTCTTAATTCTGTTTTTCGTTGTTATATTGACTTAACTCATTCGCATACAAACTGCTTGATTTCAATACAGACTATTTTAAGGTACATTGTTCCTCCTGCTCACCAGATTTAATCCCCATTGAGCATGTATTGGATATGTTGCAGAATAATCTTTCGCCGTATTTTTGGTTTCTTAGTAACTTTCGGGTTCTTGGTCATTAGTATCTAATATTTTTGTAATTTTATTTCTCTCTATATCTATCCATCCATCTATCGTGTGTTATCTATCTATCTATCCATATCTATCTATCTATCTATCTATCTATCTATCCATCCATCCATCCATCCCAGTCCTATCTTCTATCCATCTATCTATCCTCAGTCCTTTTCATCATCCATCTATCTATCTATCCATCCATCTATCCATCTATCCCATCCATCCATCCATCCCCAGTCATATCCATCATCTATCTATCTATCCATCCATCCATCCATCTATCTATCTATCCATCTATCTATCTATCTATCATCCATCTTTCATCCATCCATCTATCTATCTATCTATCTATCTATATCTATCTATCTATCTATCTATCTCTCAGTGTGTTCATATCTATCTATCTATCTATCTATCTATCTATCTATCTATCTATCTATCTATGTCTCATCTCCTTTCATATTCATATCTATCTATCTATCTATCTATCTATCTATCTATCTATCTATCTATCTATCTATCTATCTATCTATCCCTATCTGTCTGTTCATATCTATCTATATCTATCTATCATCTATCTATCTATCTATCTATCTATCTATCTATCAAAATGTGGAAGTACAAGTCCGTATTTGTTGATATTTATATTAAGTTTTATACAAAAAAAAAAAAAGAAGTATAACATTGTGGTGTCAAATATTTCGGTGACCTTGAACAATGGTTGCCTTGACGCAACTATCTCCACTACACAACGTCCAAAATGTCATACTTATTTCATAAATATAGGTTATTTTGAAATTCATTGCAGGCGGGGTTTGTGGAAATGAAGCAGGTACATGAAATGAACTTTCTAAGTGTAATAACACACTTAAGGAAATGTGATGCAGAAATCTAAAGAGACATATGATACTTATCTTTGCCTGAAGAAAAGGATGAAATTTCGGGGACACATAATGTAGAAAGAAGGCCTAGCGAATCTAAAACTCACAGGACATATTGAAGGCAAGGGCGGCAGAGTAGACAACGAATAACTTACTTGACGAGATTGACTGACAAAAAGAACAAGACTACAGAAGTTTAGATATTTGGCAAGTACTTTAACAGGGAGATGTAAAATGTGACACCGAAATCCGAAGACAAATCGAGATGGTAACTGAGGTATTCCAAAATGAAATTAGAAAGAATTAGAGAAATTTCGTCAGAAATAAGAAAAAGAGTTGTGAACTGTTATGTAATATCAAAGCTTGTATGTGGCTGTGAATACTGGACAATCTCCTCATAGTTGATGAAGAGACTTGAAGCAAGGGAAACAAAGAAAAGAGTACTGAACTGTTATGTAATATCGTCCACTGACATAGCAAAGAATGCAGGACAATCTCCTCACAGATGAAGAAAAAACTTAAAGCAAGAAAAACAAAGAAAATATTACTGAACTATTATGTAATAGCAGTCCTCATGTATGGCAGTGAATGCTGGACAATCTCCTCACGGATAAAGAAGAGACTTGAAGCAAGAGAAACAAACAAAGATTACTGAAGTTTTATGTATTTTCAGTCCTCCTGTATGGCAGTGAATGCTGGACAATCTCCTCACAGATGGAGAAGAGACTTGAAGCAAGAGAAACAAAGAGTACTGAATTGTAATGTAATATCAAACCTCGTATGTGTCAGTGAATGATGGACAATCTTCTCACGGATAAAGAAGAGACTTGAAGCAAGAGAAATAAAGAAAAGAAAACTGAACTGTAATACTGTCCACTTATATAGCAAAGAATACATGACAACCTCCTCACAGATGAAGAAAAGACTTGAAGCAAGAAAAACAAAGAAAATATTACTGAACTATTATGTAATAGCAGTCCTCCTATATGACAGTGAATACTGGACAATCTCCTTGCAGATGAAGAAGAGATTTGAAGAAAGAGAAACAAAGAAATGAATACTGAACTGTTATGTAATATCAGTCCTCCTATATGGAAGTGAATACTGGACAATCTCTTCACAGATATAGAAGAGATTTGAAGCGAGAAAAAGAAAGAGTACTGAATTGTAATGTAATATCAAACCTCGTATGTGGCAGTGAATGCTGGACAACCTCTTCACAAATGAAATGAAAATTAGAATCAACAGGAGTCTTAGAGAAAATGGAAGAAAAAATGGCACATGCTCAGAATCAGGCTTGGAGAATTTGACACTCAGTGGACATATTGAAAACAAAAGGGGCAGGAAGAGTAAGCGGACCATGTTTCTAACAGAACTGGGTTTGGGAGTAATGGAAAAACAAAAAAAATAAAATAAAATAAAAACCTAGCTACAAGAGAAGTTGTGGAGAGTTATAAAAAGGAGGAATTAATTGTCTGTGAGAGCCGGTCGATGCAAATCACCCTACGACGAAAGATTTTTAATTTTTTTTTTTCTGTTCTCTGTTTATAATTTATCTATCTCTGTACTTCTTTGACTCTGCCCTCCCCAAAGCCAACAATATTTTCGCCAAATAATTCACTAAACGGCAGAACATGGAGTAGGGAGTGTAAATGTTCTGGATCTGAAGAACGTACAAGGAGAGGAAGCTTGTTAGCAGAAAAAAAAATGACTTCAAATCAGACCACCAAAATCTCCTTATTCTTCATCTATTCAGATTCTTGATAAGTATATACTTTCACGGCTTTTTTTTTTCTTTCCTTAAATCATCTTTAAGATGGCGTCTGGTTTGGTCTCCCAAACTCAGTCACTTGATTTACACCAGGAAAAGCTTCTTTTGTTTTGTCTGTATGCGCATGCTTTTCTAAATCCTCCCCTCCTTTTATATATACATATATATATATATATATATATATATATATATATATATATATATATATATATATTTATTTATTTTTTTTCATTACTGACGCCCATTTTTCTTTTTTTTTTTTTAGTTTTCTCTTTACTATGCGTTCAATATGGCGTTACCTGATGTTTCTGATCCTGCCCAAAGATAGCGAACAGCGGGTTTTATTTCAAGATGACCGTGCCCTTCCTTCATTCTTCGCTATTTTCTTTTTCTTTGGTTTATCTTTTAATTTAACCTCTAACCTTTTTGCCGGCGTTCTGAGCCGTTTCATTGAAAAGACTTGAGTCGGTCGACACGCCTCCGAGATGTCGTTTCAAACCCCATCTTTTCTTGAAATCTGTAACTAAAAACCATCTTGATTGGTATCTTGTCCTTCTGAAGCCTTATATTTTCGTTTATTCCATGTCTCGTCTATAAGCGACAGACTCAAATTATTGCTCAAGCTTCTTCTTTTTCTATGTGACGTGTCCCTTCAGGACATTAGCAATAATGACTCTCCACAACTTCCTCTCCTTTGTAGCTCTTAATAAATTTTGTCTTTTTGATATTTCTAATAAATCATGTTTCGTCATCGATTTACTCAAGCTCATTCTTCTATGTGGCTAGTCCCTTCAGGACTTTGGTGATTATAGCTCTCCACAACTTCCTCTTCTGTGTAGATCTTAATAAATTTTGTCTTTTTGATATTTGTCCTAAACCATGTTTTGTTATCCATTTACTCGAGCGCATTCTTCTTCTTCTTCTTCTTTTTCTTCTTCTTCTATGTGCCGTGTCCCTTCAGGACGTAGGTGATCATGGCTCTCCACAATTTCCTGTCCTTTGTAGTCCTTAATAAATTTTGTCTTTTTGGTATCTTTCCTGAACCTTGTTCTGCTATCCATTTACTCAAACTCATTCTTCTTCTATGTGTCGTGTCCATTCAGGATATAGGCGATCATGGCTCTCCACAATTTCCTGTCTTTTATAGCTCTTAATAAATTTTGACTTTTTGTTATATTTCCTGAACCTTGATCTGCCATCCATTTACTCACGATCATAAGTATGTTATTCGTTGTTTTCCTCTGTCCCTTTTACCATCAATCTGTCCTGTGAGTATCAGATTTTCCAAACCGCTTTCCTCATTATGTGCGCAGAAATTTCAACAATCTCTTCTGGGAGTCAATTATCAGTTTTCTTTTATCCACTGTGACATGTGTCCTTGACACATGGTACATTGTTCGCTAGCTTTTAATATAACAGAGTTATTGAACGCAGTTGTTATATACAAACGTCAAGTTTGAGACTGTTTACATTATTATTTACACTGTTTACATTATTCCGATTATTGTCCTCATCTTTGTTGCCATATTTATCACAACGTTTCGGCCTTTCAGTATCTGTCTATATTTCTCAGATGAGGTATTATGTATACTATTTACATTATTCGGACTATTGTCCTCAACTTTGTTGCCATATTTATTACAACGTTTCGGCCCTTCAGTATCTGAATATTTCTGAGATGAGGTATTATGTACATTATTTACATTATTCGGACTATTGTCCTCATCTTTGTTGCCATATTTATCACAATGTTTCGGCCCTTCAGTATCTGTCTATATTTCTGAGATGAGGTATTATGTACACTATTTACATTATTCGGACTATTGTCCCCATCTTTGTTGCCATATTTATTACAACGTTTACGTACACTATTTACATTATTCCGACTATTGTCCTCATCTTTGTTGCTGTTATCATAACGTTTCAGCCATTGCGCTTTCCGACCTTCCTCAGGTGTATATCTATCTGGGTAATCTAAAGTGAATCTTGGACTAAATCCTTTATTTAATATACAGAGTCGAACTGTTCGCGTTTCACTGCTCATATATAGGAATATAGTCTACCTTCCTATGAATTTTTAATTTTCTTTTTTTTTTTTATATTTCTTTTTTTTTAAATTTTTAAAATATTTTATGGGGGTTCAAAGCAAATGCAAAAAAATTGAAGGACATTAATTATTTATCTTTAATGAAGAATAAGCGGATCCCCTCTCACTCTCTCTCTCTCTCTCTCTCTATATATATATATATATATATATATATATATATATATATATATATACTTAATTCATGTCATTTTTTCTTAATTAATTAAAAATGTATGTACATACTGCAATACTCCATGTATAATGCGTATTTTTTTCTAAAAAATAATAAGCAAAATTAGGGGTGCGTATTATGTATAGCTACAAAAAATCATCAAAATATTGCCGTAAAATAAAATAAGATTTATCATAAAACTAAATTTTTTTAAATAAGTGTAGGAAACGCTGGCCTTAATGAAATTGGGGAAATGCAATTTATAGGGTTTGATTACCAAACAATGGGTGCGAATTATGCGTAAGTAACAGCATTTCCTTACAATTTCAGCACAATTTTAGGGGTGCGTATTATGGATGAAGGCGTATTATACATGGGAAATTACTGTATATGTTTGTTTCTTATTTAAAAGAAATCTTTTTGTAAATAAATAAAAAAATGTCTCTTTCTGTACTCAGAACAGTTATGTCCTGATAACTCTGTAAAAAATCATGCAGTATCATATCGTTCCCTGACCTCTTGAAAAAGTTATCTTTATTTTGCTTTTATTTATTTTACTGAACATGGTACGGATTTTGTGCTTTGTATTAATTCGTAACACTACGCACTTATCCAATAAACCGTATATATACACGCGTATCAAGCGACTTTTGAAGAGCTAATTTTGAAGCTAATTTTAAGGGGGTCGCATCATACATGAGATATAAATTTGGGGTATGTACTGCTGGCCCTGGCTATGCTGTTGACCAAATTATCTATCTATCTATCTATCTATCTATCTATCTATCTATCTATGTTCATTATCAATCTCTGTTCATTATCTATCTATTGTATAAACTCGCGTATCATGCGACGTTTGAAGACCTAATTTTGAAGCTAATTTTAAGAGGGTCGCATCATACACAAGATATAAAATTAGCGTATGGACTTCTGGCCCTAGCTACGCCGTTGACTAGAATGTATACCCATTTACTTCAGACAAATTAGATCTTCAACTGTCCCCTGATACGCAAATATATACAGTAATCAAAACGTTGACTTTCCAAACTTCAAAAAACGTAAATTTTGGAAGAAACTTCATATCAATAAAAAGATCCATAACAGCGGACATGAGAAGTTTATTTTCCTGTGAAACACTTTTTAAGAAAAAACATTTTATAAATCTAAAAGAACGATAATGCTAACTTTTCGGTCAATAAAAGATGAAGGTTTCCTTTACGGAAAACGTCGAATTTAAGCATTTGTAGTAGGCGTCCGTTTATCATACGTGGTAGAGGTAGCGCCCTCTTTGGTCCAAATTCTCTCCTTTGTGGCTGGGAGAACTGGAGTGACCGTTCCAGGATGCAGAACAGGGCAATAGTATATAGAGGACGTACGCTGCCCACACTGCATTCAGCCACCCCACTCGGCTGTACCGACAAGATTCCAAGGAATACAGCATATTAAATATGGGTTGTCAATATTGATAGCGAACCGCCTTCGGGTTTCCACTCCAGGTTTTCTGTCTGGATTTACTTTCATAGCCTTTTCCGTGTTTGTATCTTTCATATCGGAGGTTTGCCTTCTCCCAAGATCGGGGGTTTCCAAATGGTTTAGCGGGCCTCATACGAAGAGGATAATGTGTTTATCAATGTTGGTCAGTCAAGTTCTGGCCGGTTGGGTTTACATTCGAGAAGAGACAAGAAGATGAAATGCAGACATTTGTGATGAACAAAGCTAAAATCATGAATAATACAAACATTTGAGCAAAACGTTCATTCGTCATATCGCGAACATAAGTCTTTTCGAAGCGAACGTAACAGGAACCATTTTAAAAATGGCTGCTAGCGTTGTACTCCATTTATTTAGACAGGTGCTTTCCAAACCGTGCTACGGAAGACGATAGCAGGTGAGGCGGAAGGAATGAAAGACAATCTAAGATTTACAAACACTTTCAAAAACATGGAATACTTTGAGGAAATGGCATTAGTATCTATATGTCTAAAGCCAACTCTATGGTTAAGGTACGTACATGACACCTTCATAATCTGGCCACACCAGGAAGATGTTTAGGTTCTACTGGACGATGAGAACTCAATAAGACCCCATTCCTGGATGTTCAAATATCTCAAACAGAGCATGGGTTCAAGTTATCCGTATACCGTAAACCGACATTCACGGGACTGTACCTCATCTCAGAAATATAGACAGATTCAAAACATTCATATGCCAAAAGTAAATATGATTTCAAAATTTTAAATATTATTATGGATTACTTGTAATTGCATGCATTAGTCCCAGTATAACTAGTTATAAATAATTATTGACAGTTTTGGAGTCTCCTTTTAGCTAAGTAACTATCAAGAGCATAGATATTTTTTACGCCCTTGTTAACCCCATTCAATTCCCCAAAGCCACTTAAGGCAAACTAAAGTGTTACTCTAGCGCAGTGGTTGCCAAACGATGCGAAGTGCCTCAGAGGTGCGGAGGAAGAGGATAGCAGTTGAGGCGGACTTTCAAAGACTTAGAAATAGTTTTAAAACATTTATATGCCAAAAATAAATATGATTTCAAAATTTCAAATATTCTTATGGATTACTTGTAATTGCATGCATGACTCCCACTATAAATAGTTATAAAAGTTATTAACCGATTTTATCATTGTGATATTTTTGCATTATATCAAATTTTATGAATATAGTTAACTAGAGTCCACAAATTGAAGGAGAGAGTTATCAATGATAATATTCTGACTTCAAATCGCGGTTATCTCCCTTTAACTTCCTCTCTCTGTGGTTGGAAGTAATTTCCTTTTACGTACCTACCCGCAATTCTTTACACATACTGCTCATGTGTATATATTATGTATGTAGGTGTTAACAGTACATCATGTATGTAGGCGTTGATATGTTCAGTTAGTGAATTGTGACTTCAGAATATAAACTGATAAAAATGAGAGTCAAAGAGAAAACATGTGAAAGAAGGAAACAGAGTGTTATATATATATATATATATATATATATATATATATATATATATATATATATATATATATATATATGTATATATATATATATATATATATATATAGAGAGAGAGAGAGAGAGAGAGAGAGAGAGTGATATGATTCATAAGAGAGGAGTAAGAAGGACAAACAGAAAGCTAGAGAGAGATAAGTAGAATGTGTGAGAGAGAATGGGAAACATAGCAGGTGAGTCAGAGGAGGA